GCTTATGATTTAAATCCAAGGCGGAAGAAAGTAGTTCCTCAAAAGGGTTTTTGAGACTCTCCATGTTTGATTTTATTTTTATATACACAATTATGCTGTCAAACTGTTGTATAAACGCAATATCACACTCGTAGCAGTCCGATATGGCTGTATATCAGCACTGGTGGGGGCACTAACACAATGCACGCCTCCCACCAGTGCCGATATACAGCCATATCACACTGCTACTCATGTGATATTGCTCATATATCAAAAGAAATAAAAAATAAATATCTCAAACTTTACTTACATTATTAGGAATGTTACATAGGCATACCAAAAGGGATCTGATAACTTAAAGGTAGGCCTACATGAAATCTGTTTGCTCAGAATTCCGCAGATTTGTAGCCCATTATGGATTCTGTTTATTTACTTTAGTAAATGTGTGTAAATTTATATTAATTAATTTTTTTTCAGTATAATTATGGCCTAATATGAAAACATTCATATGATTTGTTTACAATACAGCTAAATAAATATTTTCTGTCTTTTTGTTGATATCTTATTTGAAAGAAGCGGTTTGTTTACCAAATAAAGTGGATCATAATAGGATTTGCATTGTAAACATGAAATAAAGATTAAAAGGTTTTAATTTGTATAAGATATATAAAGTTTTTTAGTTATGATACTCCCAAAATCATTTGGCAAGTTCACAGATTTTTAACAAAATTCTCTGCAGAAATAGCAAAAAATGTCTCCAGATTTTGTCTGGCCCTACTTAAAGGTAATGATTATAATGCAGTTCAGTTGTTTTAGCAGCTTTCTTATTTTGCGATAGGCAGACAGTTTCAAGTCAATACAAAATGTTCTAAAATTGGGCAAACACTAAATAACTCTACATTTGTGAAGATGGAAAAGGCCACATAGAGTTAAAAATGTTAACATATTGTCCAGTTCCTTACAATCTGACTCCCAAATCAAAAACAATAAATTAATTGTCTTAAAATCAAAACGTTTCTTGTAAGCTGAGAAGGCAAGCAAAGATATTTTGATCCAAAAGTTTTCTACAAAATTGCATTCTAAAAATAAATGTGCCATTGTTTCCAGGTTAGAATAACATAATGTGCATTTGAATTGTTTATATTAAATTTAGATGTTGCTATTTCTAGTTTTTGTCAATTTCCCGTTGCATTTCTTACATATAAAGAAAAACAAGATCTTATTATCAGATTGACTTGTAGTTGACTTATTGGCAAAAGACTAAAGAGAATACATAAACAAATGAAAAAATAGTATACTAACTAGTATTAGTGCCTTTGAGACGTCAGAATTTAAAAAAAAAAAGTTTGAGATTATTGATTTAACCACACAATTGTTGTATTAGTTAAATCTTAGGTTGTAAGAAATTGATGTTGGTCAAGCTCCAGCCCCTTTTAAAAATAAACTGCAAGCAGACAAACAGTAAACAAACCTTTCTTTAAAACTGTGTCAACCGAGTCATGGACAAATTCAGAAGTAGTATAAGTATATTTTCATTGCAGTGTGATTATAAACTGTACATTTTCAGAAAGGTAATGTGTGATTTTAACCAACCTAACATTTTAGATTATGGATAAAGTCTATTTATATTAATAAAAAAATGGACAAAACATTTATTTCCCAATAAAATATGCAATTGTTGTATGTTCTTTTTCAAAATATTTTGTCAAACTTCATCAAATATTAACTGGTTATTGGTTAATAGACTAATCACACAAGATGTTTTGCTGAGGTTATAAATAATTTGTTTATTTTCATAAAAAACAAGATGACAGGGGGGACAAAGGCTTTAATTAATAATTTTAATTAACTAAATATGGAACATTAAAAAAAACAGGTAAAACAAAAAATATTAAAGGGTTAATATAAAAGGGTTGTAAAAGTTTCAAAGAAATCAACTTCTGTTTTCAATAATTACTGCAAACCACTGAGCCACCATGCTGCCTTTTCTGCTATCAATTTGGTTTTATTGATATGCAAATTAATAGGAAAATAAACAATTATTGTCCTTCAAATTAAACTAAATTTGCTAATGAATGTAAATCTTTGCATTGTACATAATGGAGGAATGTTGGAAGCAGCTTAAGTTAAACACCTACTGTTTTTTTTTTCAGAATAAGGTAAATAATTAGATAACAGATGTTCACATGAATACCTGGGGATGTTTTTTTTATTGTTGTTGTTGTTGTTTTTGTTCTTGTTTTTGTTTTTTTGCAGAAAAAACACTTGAAATTTGGCATGAAAATACACTTTTTTTTTTACATTTTAACTCTTCCCCCCCTACCTCCCCCAAAGCATCCAGATTCAGTTGAACAGGTAAATGTATTATTATACACATGGCTAAGGCAAATGAAAACAGATACTGTAATCCCAATACAAAAATACACATATCCATATATCAATTAATTAACCAATAGCGTGAGAGGTATTTGCTTGTGCCATTGTATTGTTATGTTACAAAAGTTGTATAAACGTATCATAAATTTTATGGTACTCCTTTAATTTGCCCTTTATACTGTAGGCGATTCTTTCCAGTGCAATGTAATGTATCAAATCTTCTAGCCAGTGATCAATGGATAGACTTTCTATGTTTTTCCAATAGTGAGCTATCGAAAGTATTGCAATAACAAGACATATATCAATTATTTTAGCTTGATAATCTGGTAATGACAAACTTACAAGAAATAAACCCAAAACACATATTTCAGGTAACTGGAATTGTTTTTAGAGGCTGTATTTTTATTTCAAACAGTCAATGAGCTTCATTGTATGGACTTTAAAAGTATATCCTTTATATAGACCATATTGCCAAAAGGTTTGTATTGTCCGCTCATGTATTGCATCTACTGTAGAATGTATGTGTATACGTGTTGCAACATAAAAACATTAACTAATTAATACTAAAATATTAAATAATAAATAAAGTGTCAATAACAAAGCATATGTCCACCCTGTCAAGGAAGGATTTGTGACAGGGTGGACAATGATAGAGGACATTATTGGCTATTTTGTCAGCACATGTATCTGCAGCTGGCAAAGTGTTTCCCTATTTAAGCAATTTGTACACAGTTAAAAAGCTATAATTTTAATTTCTGAAATGTTTACATATTAATTAATATTTCACTGTGACAGGGTGGACATGTTAGGCTTGACAACATTCAGTTTAAATCTCAATATGAGGAAAAATAGGAAACATAAGTGTAGATACCTACTGCACATCAGATGTTTTAACCTCCTCTGAAGAAAGGCAAATAGGGCACGGGGATGCCAATGAGTAAGGGGTCTTAAAGGGGCATTTACCACATCCTGGCAGGCTGAACAGCAATTTCAAGAAGACGTGCAAAATGATTAAAAAACTCATTCATTCATTCATTCATTTTCAGCTTAGTCCCTTTATTAATCCAGGGTCGACACAGCGGAATGAACCACCAACTTAACCAGAATGTATTACGTACACTGTAAAAAATAAATTGTTGAGAAAACATAAAAAAATAAGGCAACTTGATGCAGTAAGAACTTTGAGTTGTCTCAACAACTGTTTTTTAGTTCTTCTCAGTAACAATATTTAGTTGAGCTAACATAATTTTCTTTGTTCATGCAATATTGATTATAGTATTGTACTAATAAAGATATTCTTGTCACATCAATTAAAGCAACAGTAACTGCTATTGAGTCAATTAATTTTTTTCTGTTTAGTGGATGTTTTTTTTTCAAATTTGCAAAATACGTAATTAGTACTAGTTAGCATACCATTCTGTTTTAATCATTCTACTTACAAATGACAAACACAAACTTACTACTTCTTCAATTTATTTCCACTGAAAGTAACAGATAAAAAGCTTTACAACAGGAAATAGCACAAACATTTGTAAATATTTTAAGAATGAAAAGTGC